GATCTCTGGAGGAGGCCAAGTGTTGCTAGGCAGGTCGCATCTGGGCAAGACACAGTGGTTTAATGGTTTGCCCTGACTGCAAGTGGATGTTTCAGCATCTGCGAGGTACGCCGAGAGTGAGTTTACTCTTTGGTTGGAACACTTATAGATTTTAGATTTCTTCATATACTGATGTAGGAATGAAAGTCTGTTCCCATAATAAAGTAAACAGGATTGCTGAAAGAAAAAAAAAAAAAATGTTGAGAATGAAATTTACATATAGGAATGAGTTAATAGAAATTAAACAAATTGTTTTTATTAATTTTTTTTAAAACTTTATATACCAATAACTTAACCAAAAACCTAATCAAATTTAATAAAATTTTTTTTAAATAAATTCTATAAGTTTGTGAAATTTATTTAAAAAAATTTTTATTAAATTTAATTAAATTTTTGTTAAGTTATTGTTGTTTAAAGTTTAAAAAAAATTTACTTATAAAAAATTTACTTAATTTCTATTGACTCAACCCTATATAATAAACAATAGTCTATAGCTATAACTTTTAATAATAACTTCTTAACCCTAAATTTGTGTTTTTATACACTTTGTTTATTTATAAAATTAAAATTTCTTTTTTGGATTGTATAGTGCAGAACATCTAAAGGCAAAAACATGTAATTTGTCACATTTTTAAAAATTTCATATTGAAATTTAATGATTTTTTTTAATTTTTTGTATTTTGATTGGTTGAAAATTAATTAATAAAAATATTTTAAAATTAATTTTAAATTAATTTTAAAATTAACCAATAGCAAGAAGCCAAAACATGCAACTTGTCCATTTTGATTAAATTTTTACATATTATATAAAAATGCTATACTTTTAAACTTATTAATTAAAAAAAATTACAATAAGTTTTTGAAAAATAAAGCCGCTAAGTTGTAGTAAATTGGTTAAACTACAAAATAGTGGCTCATTTTTTGTGATATTGTTTTTGTATTAAATATTATAAGCATTTAAAATTGTGAGGTCTTTAGATGTCTCGCACTATATTACTGAAACAAATAAGTAAAGCCCAAAGATTACCCGTCAAACCCGGGTCAGAATATTATTGTTAGTAATATAGATGCAGACTTATGACATCACCTAGTTATTGTATACAATAAAGTTGATTAATTACTAAATTAAGAATCATGTGATATATACAAAATACTATATGTATAATTGAAGGTATGACGCCAGCTGTAATATTTTTTTTTTATTTTTTTTATGGGCTGTTGTAGGCGCGCCATTTGGTGCTACGTAACAGGGAGATTTACATCTGTTTCGGGTATTATCGAACATTATACTCCTTAGCCCGGATTTGTGTTAGGAAATTTTCAGGTAAACTAAATATGGACTAGGTGCTGAGAAAAAAAAATGATCTTCGGAAAATCAATTTTTATATTATAAATTATGATTCTAATCTTATTCTAAATTAGTCAATTTCGTTTCTTTCTCCAGCACCTAGCCCATATGATAGTCTCTCCATCTCTGCACCATCTGTGTTTGGCGCGCCAGTATTGGCGTCCAAGTACCCTGCACCAGCAACCCTATCACTAACCCATCAACGTCACGCCTCTGGCAAGTTGCCTTATCGTTATCACCATTTTCCCGTAACAATTGGTGGTGATCCATGACACTATGACACCCAGTGATGTAAATTGGATCCGCGCAGTAGGCGCAGTGTGCATAGATTAAATCCCTGTATATATGTTGTAAGTGGAAACGGAATTTAAGTGGATTCGGAATTTATATATAAAACCCCCGCTTTGGGGTTGATTTTATTATATGTACACCCTAACCCTAACCCTAATTTAACTAGAAAATTCCAAATCCACTTAAATTCCATTCCCACCTACAACATATATAAAGCGCGTATAAATTTCTTTTTTTTTTTTTGCATATTTTTTTTGAATAGAATTTATAACACCGATCAGATCATCCAATCAAATTAAGGCTCGTTATCAATGCTTATCGGCCAATCAAAATCGTAAATTTAATCAACTCAACGAACCATGTTTTCTCGTGCCGCCGCTTCGATTTATACAAGCAAAACGTCTGTCATTCTTAATCGGCTCGTTTTCACATCATGTTTTCTTTCTAATAATCACAACATATCAAGGACATGTATATTTTTGCAACAAAGAGCACCATTTTATAGGAGGCGAGTCCACAGTCATGGCTCACATTCTCACGATCATTCTCATTACAACTTAGCACTAGCTCTTTCCGGACCAAGTAAGACCAACAACTTATTAAAAAAATATATATTATGTTTATTATACTCATTTATTAATCTTTGAATTTTTTTGGAAAAGCAAATCGAGGAACAAAGATAACATTAGTAGGATTAGGTGCTAATGTCGGTCTGACTGTTGTGAAGGGTATAGCTGGTTGGTAAATATTTTACTATATACGTTAATCCTTGTCTCATTATAATTTGGTAAACATAAAACATCTTGTTTTAAATAAAGGATGATGAATTCCGCGTCATTAGTTGCTGATGCCGCACATTCTCTAAGCGGCAAGTACTTAATCAAATGATTATATTTCAATTATAATTATAATATTTTGACCTTGATGAACTTTTAATTCAATATAGATCTTATTAGCGACTTTGTGACATTATATACATTCCGACAATCAAGAAAGCCTCCTGATGAAACGCATCCCTATGGTTATGGTAATCAATCATACTTTATTTGTCCAAATTAAATGTCTTTCCTTTATTAATTTATCATATGATTTTAAGGTAAATATGAAGCTGTCGGATCTCTCGCTGTCTCTTCATTATTGGTCGTAGGTGCTATTGGAATCGGCCATCATTCCTATGAGTTGCTTATGAGTGCAATACCACCCAACTCTCCTTTTAATATCACTGAAATTAGTCTTACTACGCAAATTGATCGTCCGCATTTAAATCCAAATGCCGCATGGTTTGCCGCTGCATCTGTCGCCGTAAAAGAAGCTTTATTTAGATCAAGTACTTTACATTCTTTGAATAATTATTGTCGCGGATCATAATTTAAAATGAAATCTACATTTTCTACTCAACCTGTTAACCTTCTAAAACCCAC